CCACATATGCTCAAAGTCAGAGTCACCTGGCTAAATCAACAATAAGACTTACTGTTAAATTCTTAATTCAGAGATTTATTGAGCGTAGCGTTTTACCTGCTACCGTTGCTGGGACTGTTGTTAATTACCTGGGAATCCCAGCAACAGTACTAACAGACAATGGTCCTCAGTCTTCTAGAAATGAACATTAAATGTTTTATTATCCTCTTACTTTAAACATGACGGCACCTGTCTATTCTGGCTCGATTAAATGAAAAAGTAGAAAAATAGAGTGTGACTCATATAAAAGGTCACTGGAAAAATGAGTACATACACAAAAATTTTTCCCTGTTGACTTAAGGTAAAGTGACATTTAAATGTTTTTCTATTAAATTAATTACAAATCAATAAATGTATATTCAGCCTCTGTTTTGAGAGCAGATTGTCCTAAGTAACTGAGCATTTACCAGAGGATTCAAGGGGACAGGAGAGAAAGGTCAAACACACCAGTCCATTAACTCCTTTAAAAGGTACAGAGAGGCTTCAAAGCTGGGTATAAAGAAACACATGTGCAGGGAGTTTAGCTCAGTAATGGTGACATTTCCATAATCTTCTTCCGTACACAGACCTGTGAGTCCCCTTAAACAACAACAATGGCACAACAATGATAACCCAACTTTACTTTAGAACAGCTTAAGTGTGATGAGGTAACCTTGGAAGCTACAGTTTTTCAGATGTAAGACTTGGACCATAAAGAAGGCTGAGTGCCAAAGAATTGATGCTTTCAAACTATGGCGCTGGAGAAGACTCTTGAGAGTTCCTTGGACAGCAAGGAGATCCAACTAGTCCATCCTAAAGGAAGTCAGTCCTGAATATTCATTGGAAGGACGAATGCTGAACCTGAAACTGCAACACCTTGGCCACCTGATGGGAAGAACTGACTCATTTGAAAAGACCTTAATCCTGGGAAAGATTGAGGGTAGGAGGAGAAGGGGACAACAGAGGATGAGATGGCTGGATGGCATCACTGACTCAATGGACATGAGTTTGAGCAAACTCTGGGAGACAGTGAAGGACTGGGAAGCCTGGCGTGCTGCAGCCCATGGGGTCACAAAGAGTTGGACATGACTTAGCAACAGAGCAACAACAAGGCTCGGAAACCAGAGTGTCCCCAGGTATCAGTCTGACCGTTTCAGGAGACAGGCAGGTGGCTGGTTCAGAATCTGTGTGGGAGGGGCCAAGCTGCCTGGTTTGAATCCTGGCCACCACTTACTAGCTGGAAACTCTGAGGAAATTCCGTGACCATCCTGGGCGTCACAGGGTGGTGGTTGTAAAGATTACATAACACTCTGCATGAGCAGTGTCTCTGAGTCCAGCACATACCCACTGTTACTGTGGCAGGGACAGCCTGGGGGCTGGAGACTGAATGCACCCACTCACAGGAGCCAGGGAAAAAACATCACTTTCAAATTCAGTAGGTGTGCCAATGAAGAATTTCTACTCAGCTAAGACACATGGTACCACAGTTTACATTTTATTTGGTATTTAGTCCATCTCACAGACACAGATAAAGAAGGAAATGGCAACCCACTCCAGTATTCTTGCCTGGAGAATCCCATGGACAGCAGAACCTGACAGGCTACAGTCTGTGGGGCCGCAAGAGTCGGACACAACTTAGTGACTAAACTATTACTACTAAAATTCGCATTGGAGAAGGAAATGGCAACCCACTCCAGTATTCCTGTTTGGAGAATTCCATGGACAGAGGAGCCTGGCGGGGTCAGAGAGAGTCGGACACAACTGAGTGACACACACACACACACACACACACACACACACACACAGGGAAGAGTAGAAGAATAAAAGTGAGACACAAACAGGCCGACATAAATAGCAGCTGTGGACTACTTGCAAAATTTGAAGCATTCTGCTGTGGGCTTCTGGTGTGGGCATGTGTTTTCAATTGCAGTGTTTGTTTTCTTTTTCCTCAGCTTTCAAACTGTTTTTTTAAGGAAGGGAAACCTTTCTCTTCAAGGTTCCAAACAGCACACAGAGCACAGGAGCCAATTACTCCTCTGCTCCCGGCCACCACGGTCCCTCCCAGGGTCCCCTGTGCGTGGTTCTGCTCCTGAAAGCAAAGGCCTTAGAGGCACGGGCAGTGGGACAAACTGCCGGCTCTCAGCTCCCCTCTGCAGTCCGCTAGGAGGAGTGGCTGGGTGTGCCCTACCACCCTCAGCCTCCACCTGCTGTCGCCTGAAACACAGAGACGCTCTGCAGGTAAACTCACCTGCCTGCCCCAGGTGGTACCTGTGATGACCCCAGGGACCAGGCCGGAGGCTGCGTAGGGCGGGTCAGAAAACACCTGCTTCAAACATAAAGTAAGTCACCCCTGAATGGCTCTGGAATAATGGAATCCATGATATTGAGGAATACACATTTTAATTAACAGGAAAGTTAGTTGAATGGGAAAGTGGGGGCTTCTACAAGTTTGTGCAGGACACAGTTTCATAAAATGGGAATAAAAATAACTACCTTCTAGTATAATGATCATTGTAAGAATAGCAGCTAACTTTTGAGAGCTTATTAGAGCCAAGCATGGTTCTAGGCCCTTCATACATAATAAAGACACAAGTAGCACTCAAACATATTAGCCATTTCCATTATCTCTAAACTCTTTGTTTAGCACTGGACTCTTTTCCCCAAACAAAATATTACCCAGAGCAGCATATAAAACAAGAAAAGAAACACAGGTTGTTTATATGGAGCTGGAGTGAGGGGTCTTGGCTTTTGGGGCTCCCTCCATCCCACACCAGATGTTTGTGTCCCCCAGGTCAACCCCCAGGGACCACAGGGAGCCCTGTGACTCCTGAGAACACGGTTGAAAACTCATTTATCCTCGATTCTTTGTACTAAACAAATGGAGATGGGCCTCAGTCAGAAACCCCAGCAGTGCCCGACCAATAGGAAGTTAAATACCTCGCAGGGTGGCCAGAAGCTAGAGGAGCCCCAAGGAGTGGTGGGCACACAGCCCCTCCTCAAATGCCAGACCCGCCAGGGAAACACTGAGACTGGTGAGCTTAGCCGTGCTTCCCTGTTTCTTTTTTTATTTTTTATTTTTTTTATTTTTCCATTTATTTTTATTAGTTGGAGGCTAATTACTTTACATCATTGCAGTTCCTGTTTCTTCCCATCTTCTCCTGCAAATGACCGATGGGGCCTCTTCCTGGTCTAATATTCTGCTGCTGACAGTGTCTTTCCCATAATACTGCGCATGTTTAGTTCACGATCCTCAGTATCCAAATACTTGAAAAGAAATAGTTAAAAATGGCTACCAAAAAACTCCTTCCACCCCTGTCTGTTCAGTGGGTTTTCTTCTGCTGTTGCCTGTTTTATTACTGTCAAATAATATTTATTAACATTCACTATTATCGCAAAAGTGAATCTTGGTCTCTTACCAAAAGTCTTAAGGGTAGGTAAAAAAACCGAAAACAAAAAAAACCTGTCTCCACCCTAGCTTTGGCAACTGGTTTTAAAACTTTGTCCATCCCCCCTAGTTCCCCACCTCCCCAACCCCAAACATGACCAGCAAAGGCGGCAGACTATGCTCTTAAGTCCGTGGAGGTTATGTTTTGGAGAAAGTTTTCAATACCCTGATCTTTGAATCACACTCTTCCACTGACACACGGACTGCAGTCTCCATGGGCTGGGGCTGAGGAAAGAATTCTCTTTGCGCTCATAGCGCTGGCACACCCTGAACTTGGTGCGTTGGCAGGGAAAATTCCTGGCAACTCCATTAGGCCCAGAGTAAGACATCTTTCCGCCTCCCCAGCTAGCTTTTTCCAGCTGTACCCCTACCTCCACTTCCATCTCTGCCAAAATAAACCATGGAGAAGGGAAGAAAAATCACATAATAAAAAGTTCAGATGAATACACCCGCAGAAAATATTTGGCTAATTCTAACAATCCAAGGTGCAAAAAGGTTGAAAAATGAGATCGTTCTCCAAACTTTTGGGAGTGGGAGGTACATCAGTCCCTAGAATTCTAGACTGGGAGGGGCTTGATGGATCAGCTTAGCCGTGTGCCTTCGTTTTTAGGGACCAGGACCCAGAAATCCCGAATGGTAGACGTCTAGGCACACGCTCCTGGGCGGAATGATGTCTAGAACTCCTGTCCTAACTGAGGACCCTGCTGTTTTCCCACCACACCCATCAATCTGCTGTGTGAATTAAAAGCTCCTGCCTGGACCAAGACCCCCAGTTAAGAAACTGTCCTAACAATTTCCCACCGACGCTGCAACAGGCGCGCGCTCTCCCCAAACCCACCGGTGGGTGGGTTCTCACCCCTGGGGTGGCTTTCAGGGAAACACGCAAACGGGAACGTGCTCCAAGCTGAGAGGCAGCTCCCCTTCCTCAAACTTGGGGTTCAAAGGAGGGAAGGACAACCCCCTGCCCCCGTCCGGCGAGGGCGGAGACCCTGGCGACCTGGGGCCATATCCAGCTGCTGCTTCTGCCCCCGGTGACATTTTTGGGGTATGTTTGTTTTTGTTTCAAAAACCGGGAGTTTTCTCCGTTCGTTCATCGGGTCTCAACTGCCGCGAAGGTGTGGACCACATCCTCTGCCGGCAAAGCACGAAACCCGTCCACTTCCCTCCGACAACGACCCAAAGAGAGAGAGATCTCAGAGGGGACGCCGTCGCTCGTCGGCGCCGGGACGCCGCCCCCCCCAAACCCCGTCACACCGCACCCCAAAGAGAGCCCACGCGCTCTGTCCGGGAACCGGGCAGCGCCGCCTAAGCGGGTCGCTCGCCGCCTCGAGACCCGCACCAGCCCTGCCCACCGGGGCGGGGGCGGGGGCGCAGCTCCCGACAGAGATGCGCCCCAATGCTGCAGCCGGTTCCCCTCACCACTCCTCCGTACTCCCCACACCCCTCGGACCGCCGGTCCCGGGCCCCCCGACGCCAAAGGCTGCGCCAACCAGGAGAGCGCGTCCCCGGCTGCCCGCTCCGCGGGCCTGGGGCCCACCTGAGGCGTGGTCGCGAGGCCGCTCCCGCTCCTGCGCGGGGCTCTTCCGCGCCGCCATGCCGGCCGCGCGCTGCCGACGGGCGCGGAGCCTCGCCCGTTGGGTCTGACGGACGCGGCGGCCGGCGGCCGGCGCCCGCGACTCGCTCCCAGGCGGCTGGCTGGTGGGCGCTGAAGGCGCGGGGCGGGGAACGCGGTCTGCGCTCCGGCCCCCGGGCGCCCCGGGGGGTTCGACGGACGCGCCGGAGCGCCAATGGGAGGCCGCGCAGCCACAGAGGGCGGGGACAAGTGGGCGGGGTCTGGGGAGTGGGCGGGGCCTCCGCGCCTTTCTGGATTCCCCTGTCGGAGCTGCTGTCAGCGGCTGCGTGCTCTGCTGCGAAGCGGGCAGCTACTGCTGGGATGCAGAACCTCATCTCAGGAACTATCCTAGCAGTGGCACCTGAAGGGATCCTCAACCTCCCTGGCGTTTTATATCGGAGGCCCATTGAGTGGGAAGGAAAGAAGCCTGCTGAGTGGGATGATGTAGGAGAGAGGGTTACCTCAGTGGCAAGGTTGCAGTGTTCTTTTCCCTGGCACAAACGTTAAGCCTCTAATCTGTCACGGCGATGGGAGGGCGAGACTGGAATCCAGTTGTCGACCCGGGGCCTTACTCACTAGATTGGGCTGTTTTTTCTGATCTTTCTTTCCCCTGACTCAGTGGAATGACGATGTGCTTACTTAGAACTCAGTTTACTTTCAGTTCCGTTGCTCAGTCGTGTCCGACTCTTTGCGACCCAATGGACTGCAGCACGCCAGACCTCCCTGTCCATCCATCACCAACTCCTAGAGTTTACTCAAATTCATGTCCATTGAGTCGCTGATGCCATGCAATCATCTCATCCTCTGTCGTCCCCTTCTCCTCCCACCTTCTATCTTTCCCAGCATCAGGGTCTTTTCCAATGTGTCAGTTGTTCTCATTAGGTGGCCAAAGTATTGGAGTTTCAGCTTCAGCATCAGTCCTTCCGGTGAATATTCAGGACTGATTTCCTTTAGTTTACTTTAGGAGAGGTTATTGACAAAATTGATCATCTCTTAAAGCAGTTTAACAGTAAAGGAAAAAATAAAGGAGTAACAAATAGTAAAAATAAACAGTCTGACAATAGAGAGGCGCTCACAACAAGGATCTTTCACCCCTGATTTCTTAGTAACATGACTTTTTTTTTTCCAGAGAAAAAGGAAGAAAATTAAAATCCTGGTGAACACTTCCTCTTTCTCCAATACACACAATTCCAGAGACAAACAGGCTTGCATGTGACATGGTTTGGCATCTTTTGAAAAATTCCATCATGCTGGCATTTTAGGTGGCTCCAGTATTTAGGCCAATGTCTGCAAGTAACCACTTTCCCCCTGTTCTCTGGTCTTTGGTAACTCCAGGAAAATTCTGAATCAGAGCAACAGCAATTAATGTAGCGCTGGACATTTACCAATAGCTGACATCAGGTCAGGCACTTTGGTAATCCTTTTATGTATCATTTTACATATTATTTGATCTAATCCTCACACCAGCCTATGAGGTAGGTACTCTTGTTATAAACATAAGGAAACTAAGGCTCAGTAAATGCTAGTGCAGAGTTTAAACCTAGTTCTGATCTGTCCACTGCCCCACCATTCTGCAACCCATGATTCACAGAAGATAATAAAAATGTTCCCAAATTCTGCTGCATGTTTAGGGGAAAAAAAAAAAAAAAAAAACCTCCTTCTATCCAAATCAGATTTTAACCTAGAGGTGTGGTTTTCTACAGTCATAAACCATGACTTGCGTGTACAGAGCCTTGTTAGTCATACAAATTAAAGGACTTAAAATTGTGTGTAATTAAAGTTATGAGCCATGATGAGTACAAATTGTCTATTCTAGAAGCTGAAAATACCAGGACTAATTTCTTGCGATAAAATAAAATTTGCTTGAGTCCTTTAACTACAAAACAAATCAGCCAGTAACTTTCCCCTCCTCCCACAAGATAAAATTTATGAGTCCTACAGCTGGTAGGACTCAGCCTAGAATTCTTTCAATTAATTCACAGTCAGGGTTCCTTGGTTTGGTTTGCTGTTATGTTCACTGTTACCCTGAAAGCTGAGTGGAAGGCCTCTTTGTGTGGTATTTACAGACGTAGACCTTGAAGCCAGACTGTCTGGTTTGGCTGCATACTAGCCATATGGACTTGCTCAATTATTTAACCTTTTTTGCCTCAGTTTCCTCATCATAAAATGAAGCTCAAGTGAGTATCTTCCTTAGGGGGTTGTTATGGGGATGAAGTGATTAGATATGTCCTAAACCCTTAGATTAATGCTTGGCACATAATAAGAACCACATACATATTAATCTAATCAAGGATGTAACTACGCATAGAGGTTTCTGATTCACCTTCTGGACTACCCATGTGTGATTTACTACCTGTATTAACAATTACAAGGTTATTAATCCTTTTACTGACCTGGAATATGAGATTAAGAATTATGATCTTCAATCCTTAGTGCCTAGCTTGGGGCTTGAATTTTTTTTTGTATATAGACAAACCTTTATTGCTTTTACTGACACCAACAATTCTTGCCTTCTACATTATATCACAGCTTGAATGCACAGGCTTTAAAAAAACTATCAAGCTGGTACTGCATTAGAAAAATAACTGTCATTGAGCCAGCATATTAAAATCATACACTGTGTTGTCCTTGGTCACTCAGTTGTGTCTGACTCTTTTCGATCCTATGAGCCCGCCAGGCTCCTCTGTCCATGGGGATTCTCCAGGCAAGAATCCTGGGATAGGTTGTCATGCCCTCCTCCAGGGGATCTTCCCAACCCAGGGATCGAACCCAGGTCTTGCGGATTCTTTACCATCTGAGCCACCAGGGAAGCCCAAGAATACTGGAGTGAGTAGCCTATCCCTTCTCCAGGGCATCTTGCCGACTGAGGAATCGAGCCAGGGTCTCCTGCTTTGCAGGTGGATTCTTTACCAGCTGAGCTACCAGGGAAGCCCATTAAAACCATATATCATGGACCTATTAGGTAGAGCTTGGATATGTTCGAGTGGGTACATTGAGAGTATGGTGTGAGGTCATACTCTCATAAAGGTCACACTCACGAAGATACCTGTAGCAATTATCTCAGCTGAAATGTTGACACAGATATATCACACTCACCAAAACAGCAACCTTTGAACCACTGGAGACAAAGCCGATGCCTAGAAGCACATCACTTGATTGTGATGCTGGAGAGTTTGGAATGAGTGGCCGGGGCAACAGCTACTGCAGTTAGTCACAGGGATGATCTTGATATGGTCCACATCAGAAGAAAGAAAGAGAAGGGAAACAAGAGAAAGAAAGAGAAATGGGGGAGGGGTGGAGAGAGAGAGAGAGAGAGATGCCTGGTCAATAAATTCTAGCAAATATTTTCTCAGACTTCTTGTTTTCATAAAGTTTTCTTGACCATTTGAACTCTGAGAATGGAATGTGAATGTCCAGAAACACTGAAGACATTGCAAAATGTATTTTCCGTGGCAATGCCAAGCTTTTCACATTACTCAAGGGTCACTCATTCATATCTGGGTCAGTCTCAGGCTAGGACAAGTTGACATTTGTTCTGAGAACAGTGGAACCCATGACGCATTTGGGCAGTAATTGCAATTTTCATTTCTACTGAGTTTGCTTGGTTGACTGATTTCTAGTTAAATATCCTCCTCTTAACTGAGAGATTGCAGAGGGAGTTGCTGTAATTCCTGCACCAAGAACTATACTCGGCACTGGAAGGGACTTATTTCAGTACTCGCTGAGTGAGAACATGAGCCAGTGTGTGAGTGAGGCAACGACAAGACTTCCAGCTAAGAGCCCATGGAATTTTCCCACCTGTACTCACCTCCAACTGCCCTTTATCCAAACGCATTTTCTTTCTTTTTGGTGGGAAAGTATACATAACATAAAATTTACCATTTCATTATTTTAAGTGTATAGTTGAGTGGCACTACATACATTCACATCATTGTGCAAATATCACCAACCATCCATCTCTCAAACTTCTTTCATTTTCCCCCTCCCTCAGCACCTCTGCCTCTGAACTAGTTTCTCAATATGACTACTCTAGCTTCCTCAAGTGGAATCATACAGTATTTATCCTTTGGTGACTAGCTTATTTTACTTTGTCTATTAATGTCTTAAAGGTGCATTGCTATTGTACCCATGTCAGAATGGCCTTCCTTTTCAAGGCTGAATAAGGTATGTATATGTTACAGTTTGCTTATCCATCAATGGACACAGGTTGCTTCCACCGTCTAGCTATTGTAAGTGATACTGCCATGATCCTAAGTGTACAAATAAGTGTTGGGGTCTCTGTTTTCAATTCTTTTGAATATAAGCTTAGAAGTGGAATTGCTGGATCATAGCTGTTTTGAGGAACAGTCATAAAACAGTCATACTTTTTCCAGCACAGAAAACACTTCCACCAACAAACCATAAAGATTATATTTCCTCCACATCCTCACAGGCACGTTATTTTCAATTTTTAAAATAATATCCATCCTAACGGGTGTGAAGTGATATCTTACTGTAGTTCGGATTTGCATTTTCCTAATGGTTAGGGGTGCTGAGCATCTTTTGACGTGCTTATTAAACATGTATAACATTTGGAGAAATGATTGAGTCCTTTGACGATTTATTGTCTTTGAAAACATAATGGCATCACTGTTGATATCCATAAAAGTTAAAATTTGAGTAACCCTTACCTTTACTTCCATTCTGCACTGTATCAGGTAGGGTCACTTTTTCTAATAGAGGCAATGTATAGAGGTTAATAGGTCATGATGATGATGATGGTGATGATAATGGCAGAACTTAGTTGAGCACTCATGAACTGCCAGCCTCTATTAATTGCTCAGCATGTATTACTTAAGGCTCCCAGGTGGCGCAATGGTAAAGAATCCACCTGCCAATGCAGGAGACACAAGAAATGTAGGTTTGATCCCTGGGTCGGGAAGATCCCCTGGGAAAGAGAGTGTAAGAGCTGGCGAGAAGGATACAGGAGGTCCACTGAGAGCC